GGAGCGGGACTCTGGCAGCGGCATGGCGAGGGGCTGGAAAGCCTGGAATGGGATTCTGGCAATGGCATAGAAAGGGCAGGAAAGCCTGGAATGGGACTCTGGCAACGGCATGGCGAGGGGTTGGAAAGCCTGGAAAAGGACTCTGGCAGTGGCATGGCGAGGGCAGGAAAGCCTGGAATGGGACTCTGGCAATGGCATAGAAAGGGCAGGAAAGCCTGGAATGGGACTCTGGCAACGGCAGAGAGAGGGCAGGAAAGCCTGGAATGGGACTCTGGCAATGGCATAGAGAGGGCAGGAAAGCCTGAAGCGGGACTCTGGCAGCAGTGGAAAAGAAATTTGGACTCTGTTAAGTTATCTTTCTTTTCATTTTATTCTAAGTTAATGTGAATGGCACCATGTTTGTATGGTAAAGGTACACACTTCTCACTGTATTTTTACATTGAAAACACGTGACAATAAATGATTCAATTCACCTGGGTCATTAAGGACTTATTAAAGCTCATTTAAAGGAGAAAGACTGGGATTTTTCCAGTTAGCTTTCCCCACAGGGCTATGTTTAACTGCTTGGAGGTGGCTTCCTTGTGGCAGACTGGTGGGGATGGAGGGGGAACGTTACAATGTGCTGGTCAGGCTTAGACACTTTCCCTCCCTGTTTGCCAGTCTGCAACAAAAGCCACATGTCATCCTGTATACCGGTTATTCCCTAACCCCATCCTCAATCATCCCACAACAATGGTGATCTGGTTGAACGACCCACTCTTTATTTGAAATTCAAGAAGAGGTTGGAGAGCGGGTGCTCCCATTTTGACGTGCCCTCACCCCTCACTTGTCATCAGAGCACCTCCAATCAGAGGCCTTTCAATTCAAGAGATTGGATGGGAAGCCCCTCTGCTGCCCATTAATTGGCTACTTTGGGGGCAATCACAATGAGTGACCATATCCCATACACTTTCAGGCTTTTGCTCATTTTGAGCCTGGCAGGAGCACGCCAGGAAAATTCTGCTTAATTGTACATTGTGAACTGATTTGTCTTGAACTCAATTATTTCTTGCTTAGTCAAAGTAAGAAGCTAGAGAGCTTTAGAAAGTTTTGTTTTGACTTCGATTAAAATATCACACTGAAAAGATCTCTCAGCTCTCCATTCAGGTGTACTTACAGTTGTCATGGTTTCTTGAGTACTGGGTGTAGGGACAATAACTCTGATGTTGATCTTTACTCTCCCTGTTTGTACAACTTTCCTCTTTCGGCTTCCAGCCAGAAGGTTATCATCGGTTATTTGAATTAGAAGGTTATAATTTGTGACTTTGTCAACACCGTGTGTGTAGTCAAAAGGAAGGGCAAGTATCAGCTTAGTGATGTTTGATCCAGCACTGGGAGAGAGTTGAAAGTGGTTGTTGATATTACCTAGCACAGGAAATAACTTGATTAAATGGCAAATAACTGTGGAAAAAAAATCTGTAAGGCTTTTAAGGTAACTTCTCCTACGTTTCAAGTTGCACGTTTGTGATATGGTACTTGCAATAAAAATGGTTGACATCAACACTGAAGAAAAGGTAGCATTTCTCATGTCATTTAGTCTTTAAAACAGACAAATCAAGAGAGATAACAATTTTGTAGAGCTGGATGAACACAGCAGGCCAAGCAGCATCAGAGGGGCAGGAAGGCTGACGTTTCGGGTCTGGACCCTTCTTCAGAAAAATCAAGAGAAAGCTTTGCCCACTGGTCAATAACATTAAAACCTTAATGCTTTAGATAACCAACATCCTGAAATAGTTGGCATAATGCTGCAGTATTTGAGACAGGATTGAGTGCTCTTAACATTTTTTTGATGTACAGACACGCGAGCAATTAATTTCAGGGCGTTTTTTTAAAACAATGACAGACAAAGGCTCAGAGTAAGGAGAATGTTTCCACGATACATCGATTATTATACTTGTGCAGGATTAGCTCGTTCCATATTTAGATTATTTTCCCAGCCCTGAAATAACATGGCAATGGTGAGCCAGTCAGGAAATTGAGGCAGGATCAGAAAATTGAGATATTGGGGGTCAAGGAAAGTCGCGTCTAATTTTTGATCCACGGTTTGAACGGTAAGAAGGGGCTCTGACTAGTGACCAGTGGGAGGCTTATTTGCTTGTATTAAAGTTTTATGTCCTAGTCTCTCCTCATTGGTATGCAGTTTACTATTCGTTCACACAGAAGAGACAAACTAGACGGTGACAATTCTCAACATGAAAGTCAGCCCAGTTACTTGGCTGCTTCAGACTGTCACTTGCTTCTCTGGGCCTCCATCTTGGCCAGCAGTCCCCAACATCTCAAGGTATGCTAACCTCACTGGGTTAGCAGACTAAATCCACAATATAAAGTGGCAACACATGTATGACTGTGAGATTCTATGTCAAAACAAGAGTCGCCCGTGCCACCGATATGCCCTCAAAAGCAGTTCCTATTTCTTCCCCTCCCACTACATGCACTGTGAAGAGCTCCATTTTGATTGCATCAATCTGGATAAAGCTGGAATAAGAATCTGCACCTTAGACTTCCAAAGATAACTGTTTGTTTATTTTTCCATTTCAGCTCCAGCATGGATGGCCCTACGATTGTTCAGATTATCAATCATCACTTTCAATAACCTGGGACCAAATATAATCAAGGTGACCATGCTATCTGTATCCCTGCCAGTAGATCACAAAGGATCAGATACAATCATAACTATTCCCATCCTGACACAGTGCCTTGGTATTGTGGGATCTACATTTGAGTTAACAGCCACAGGTTTGATTGAACATAATTATATACAAAGGATTCAAGAAAGGACATGTTGCCCTGTAAGGGAACTGCAACAAGGTTTATTGAGAGTGTTCTGAGGAAGGGTCACCAGACCCGAAATGTTAACTCTGTTTTCTCCTTCATAGATGCTGCCAGACCTGTTGGGCTTTTCCAGCAACTTTGTTTTTGTTCTTGTGTTATGAAGTTTGGGAATTGTTAGAAACCTTTTTCTATTTGTTCACAGGGTGGGGAAATCACTGACTAGGCCAGCATCTATTACCCATCCCTAATTGCCCAAACTGCCGCTAACAGTCACCCACAATGCTGTGTGTCTGGGGCCACATGTAGGCCAAACCAGATAAGGATGGCAGATCTCCTTCCCTAAAGGACATTAGTGAACCAGATGATTTTTTATGACAATCGACAGTGATTTCAGCATTGTCAATAGGACAGCTCTTTATTCCAGATTTTTATCAAATTCACCTTCCACCACCTGCCCTGCTGGGATTCAAATCCTGAACATTAGCCAGCGTTTCTGGATTTCAAGTCCAGTGATGTTACTAATACTCCATCCCACACACCTTAGTGGATGCACTATGAGAATTGGAAAATGGAATATTTGGACAATTCTGGATAGAAAAAGAAAATTAACCATGCGGCTTCTTGGAACTCAAACTTCAAAAAGAACATGGGATTTTCTGCTCTTAACAAGAAGCCAAGTGACTTTGGGAGAAAAAAAATCTTTAAAAAGTGATTATATTTTGCATTATGATCTACAATTTCTAGACAAACTGTGTCTTCCAGTAAACTGGAAAAGTAACTCCAAGCTGGAAATAGCAACTCTGCCTTTCCTGAGAAGTGGCAAATGAACAGTTCAGACTGATTTCCTTCTGAATCTAAAATCTGGTCTGCAGAATATCTGTCACTTTGCGACTTTCAGCAACTTAACCTTGTCAACGGGAAACCAAAGCAACTGTAAAATGTCAACCCATTCTATCTTCACTAGTTTGGACTCTTGATCCAGAAGGGTGTTTTCTTCTTAATTTTTCAAAAAAGTAATACTCTGCAGAACTATGTGGTCTCACCTCATCTGTATATGAATGTGCGTGTGGTAGGATTAACGAATATAATTAAGTCTCTTCTGTACCTTAATCGATGACCTATTTTGATACTTACTTGTATAATAAGCTTATTATTAAACTGATTTTTTTAAAGATTGAGGAAACCTAGCAAAAGTTTCTTTTGTTCTAGGTAACAGTTTTAAATGCTTCGATTATTTCAGTGATGAAGTAAGACATTTAAACCTTTTGTACAGCTCATAGGCTTGATTTCGAGTGGACTCCTTTCTTTAGCATAGTAATGGCATAAATAGAGGGTGGTAAGAAATTAACATCGCACCTGGAGCCCCACAGAATCTGGCTCCAGTTCCATGTGATCTGATGTCTTTATAACCTGGCTGTCTGCTCAGTAGTCATCCTTAGAATAAGGTACAATTCCCATTAATTTACAAATCCCAGCTCTCAAAGAAAAGGATTGAAAACAAAAGCTGCCAGATTACAACCGGGAGCACAGGACAGCATGTTGCCGCACAGCACGAGGGACATGGGTTCAATTTCAGCCTCAGATGACTGCCTGTGTGGAGTTTGCACGTTCTCCCCATGTCTGTGTGGGTTTCCATTGGGTATTCTGGATTCCTCCCACAGTCCAAAGATATGCAGGTTAAGTGGATTGACCATGCTAAAAATTGCCTCATAGTGTCCAGGGACATGCAGGATATGTGGATTAGCCACAGTAAATGCGGGGTTACAGGCGTAAGGTGGGATGCTCTTTGGAGGGTTGGTTCAGACTCGATGGGCTGAATGGCCTCCATCTGCAGTGAAGGGATTCTATGACTGTCTGGATCTACTGATATCCCACCAGCTATTTAATTCAGCTAAACCACAAACATTTTCTCTCTTCCTGCAATATAATAAATGAGATCTGTTCAGGTTGAAGAGGAGAGGAAATAGGAACAAAGAGACACATATATGGAAAATGAAAAACCATAGCGGCAGGCATACCTTGAAGGGATGTACCCAAATAAAACAGGAATGATCCAATCAGGCAATTCAGTTACATACCTGAAGTTATGAAGTAACGGAAAGACTGAGGGGAGGAATCATGATCTGTACAGGCCAACTGAAACCCTTGAATGTTTGTACCCGAAGCGGTGTCATCAAGAATCATCATCGAATAAAACTTTGGAAGACAGTCAGGTGGTTCATCATTGGCCGGAAGAATATTAACAGTGACCTAGAACACAACAGCATTTAACTAAATTACTAAATTTCCTCAAAGACAGTCCAACCAACCCAAAACCTATCAGTTATCTCCTGCTGATCTGTCAAATTCTATTCACTAACCACCAACATGGCTGATTGAACTTAGATCATTAATACCTCTTTGGTTGCCATCAAAGCACCTCCTGACTTTGTCCTCTTCCATTCTCTATCATGTAAAGAATCATGGCCTTGTAATCAGGACTTGCAACCCTCCCTGAACATTTGTTGTTCTATTAAAAAGGATGTTTCCTGCTCCAGGAAATTAAGCCAAAACAACTCCTGTACTAATGCCTCAGTCAAGATTAGCCAATTCAACACAGTGCAGGGATCAAACAGGAGCCATTCCACAATGACTTGTCAATTGAGGAAAATATCATTTCCTCCAATCCTTAAATTATAAGATGGAACTCTTTTGATGAGTTAGGCTGCAGTCAAAAGTTCAATTCAAATGTGAACGTGCAGTTGTGTGGGGGCTCTATGTTAAACCACTTCTTCCTGAACCTTTCCCAATGTGACTTTGTTTCAATGACTATGACCCCTTCTCTCTGAGAGCTGTGAAGGGGGTGTTGACTAGCTTAGAGAATGTGGCAGTTGGAGTTAGCTATGAATGAGATGGGAGGGTAGTGGCGTGGGGCTCTGAAACTAAAAGTTCTTATTGACTTCTTTTGGAGCAGCCGTCCAGGTTGGAAAGAAACAGTTCAACCACAAACTCTGAAAAAGAATGTGAAAATTCAGAAGGGCCTATCATTCTTTACTCCACAGTTGGGAAACCCTGGGTTTACACTTGCTTTGAATTTTATACAACTTTTCTGCCATAGTTAGATCTTGCAGATGGGCGATCTTACAAAAATGAAATTCAAATTTTAACTGAGTGGATGTTTTTCTTCTTTGTACATTTAATTACTTTGCATATCAGAGGTGCAATCTTTCATGCATCTGTGGAGACTTGATATAGTGGAGCTTGTGGCCTATGCCTTTAACCAAATGTTAACTGTGCGGGATTTATCACTCATCAGTTAATGATACTGGTCAGTTCCGAATGAAAGAATTTCTATGTACGTTGCAATTTTCACAACATCAGAGTGTTCCATAGTGGTACATAGTCAATCAAATAAACACAGCAGCCAATTTGAATGGAGCAAGTTCTCCACAATAGCAATGTGTAACCCTTATTGGTGAATGAAAGATGAGGACATTTTGCAAGGATGTGAAAGGCTGCAGGATCAGGGTGAAATGAGAAATAACTCATCAGTGTCATCTTTTACAGGTCACTAGGAGTTGTGCCTCTGGGAAGTGATTTGGTTAACCATGCTCCTCTAGTGTTGCAGCATTCTGGCTCCATCATCTCTCGATCTGGCTAAAATTCAAGAATGTGTTTTGCAACTAGGCCAAGAAAATTCCTGTTTTGTATTAAACGGAACTTGCACAATTAATACCTCCGCAATGTCAGCCAATGTCAACAAGTGAGTTACTGATCCATTCAATCATAGGACTGACTACCTTTTGATGCCAGTGAACATTTAAAACCTACCAGTGAAACTTTAAACAAATTATATTTATTCTGTTGAATATCTGACTGTTGGTTTAGTTTTAATCAAAGCAATGACCCCTGCCCACCCTGTTCAATAGTTATTGAATGTTTTTACTGCGATGAGATTTGCAAGTGGACTATCCTTCTGCATTAGAAACCACTTACAGTAGCTGTAGCAGCCTTTGGATCATTGGAGTCTTTATCAACAGCTTGCACTGTCAGAAGATACTGGACAATTGCCTCATAGTCTGGTTGAGCCACAAGATGTATTTCCCCTGAGGCTGGGTTTATCCAAAATAATTGACTATAGCCCAGAGTGCTTCCCCCTCCTACTAGTGAATAAATGAGTTCAAGGCCTGGAAGATCTTTGTCCTCTGCAAGCACTTGTCCAATCTTTGTTCCTACTGGAAAGCAATGAACATAAAAAGCTATTAGTAGATTACACTGTATATTATTAGTTCTTCATTCAATCTGCAGAAATCTCTAACCTTCTTCCAGCTCACAATTACCTTGTAGTCGCCTTGCGTCTAGGCACTAAACTCTGAAAATACCTCCCGGAATCTCGTTACAAAACCTCCCTCGTCTTCTACAGTTCACACTTTTAAACTTGCTTTTATGAACAAGATTTTGATCACCTATTGTAACACTTCTTTATTTAGCTTGCTGCCAATGTTTGCAGGAGTTTGGGATCCTTTGAAAGACACTGTGACATTGCACTACACCAAAAGGTGCTTTATTTATGCAAATCATTGTTTCCCACAGTTGCCCTCAACTAGCATCTTCCAAACACTTCCATCTAGAAGGACAGGGCAGCAGATATATGGGAATACCACCACCTTCAAGTTCCTCTCCAAGTCATGCACCATCCTGACTTGGAAATATGCCACTGTTCCTTTGCTGTCGCTGAGTCAAAATCCTGGAATTCCCTTCCTAATGACATTATGGGTCAATAAATGCTGACCAGCCAGCAACACCCATATCCCACAAATGAGTAAAAAAAAATTCATACCAACAGTGTTTCTCCAATGGTTAATGATACCCTTGGAAAACGTAGATTGCTTCAAAAGCAAAAACATGCAATTCCCATTTCTTTTCTGCTGGTGAAGATTTTCCCAACTTTTTGTGCAATGTTCTTAGTCTTACACTACTGAAGAATCTTCCCATTATTTATTATACTGATATAATACATTGTCTATGCCATATCCTCTAACAATTTTTATTGATGGATATCTTTGCTCATAGTATTCCCATTTCCGCATGAGAACACAGTACACAATATTGCAAAAGCAAAATGTTGTTAATGGTGGAAGACTAACAGAAAGTTGTTGGAAAATCTCAGTGGGTGTGGCAATTCTCCCACTTTCCAATTTGAGTATGCAGTATTGCAAAAGCAAAATACTGTATATTCCCTGGATGGCAAGTCCTGGCTGGTTGAAGACCAGTGGCAGCAGCATAAGTGACCACTTTAGTGCCTCAATTGATCTCTGGGAGGCAAGGCCATCCACAAAGCTTACCTCTCTAAACCTGATCCAAGCAAGGAGAGATAACTATGGGATTTCCACGCAGCATCCTCACACATATTCACAAGTACCTCTGAACTTTCTGGGGTGGGTGGGAAGGCTTAAAATCCAACACATTAGCTGTATAGCAGAGAAGGAAAGGAATATGACTTTAATTTAATATTGCTTGCAGGTCGTTAGTTTTGAAGGATTGTGATAAATGTATTTGTAGTGATTGCAAAACAGGTGGATCCTGTTGACTACAAGATGCTTGATTAGGGCTATTCACCTGGGCCAATCAAGATCGCCTGGCTAACCAATATTAACAGGGGATTTAGATTCTTCTTGGTTCAGGGGACTGACTCCGAGCTGGGTGACCACAGTCAATGCAGTGTGCACAAGTAAATAAAGGGTGATATGGTGATGGGATACTGGCCTCTGTACAGTTATTTCAGTGGCGATGGGAGAAAACAATATGTTCCTGACTCACAATTATCATCTTGGAGTTGGGGTAAGCATTCTGGCATCGTGCCTTTATTTGGGAAGCTTGACTTGTTTGATCCTGCTGTCGAAAACTGGTCCCAGTGTGTGGAAAAAAAGGTATGTTTTTTTTTTCTGGGCAAGTGACCTTGTGGCGGATGAAAAGCAATGAGTAATCCTCCTGACTGCTTGTGGACCTGTAGCATTTTCATGTATAAGGGGCTTTACTTTCCCAGAGGCACCAGACACTAAAACCTTCCAAGAGTTGATGGAGTTGTTTAAGGAATATTATGACCCCAAACCTCTTCTAATTCTGAAACATGATCAGTTTTATTCAGCTGTTAGAGAACCAGGAGAATCCGTGTTAGGATTTTGGACCAGGTTAAGATGACTGGCGGAGGCATGTGATTTTGGGTTAACCCTGAATGAGATGCTGGGAGACCGTTTGGTAACTGGGATTAATTATGTAACCATGCAGAAGTGCCTACTAGCTGAAGCCCAACTGGACTTCAAACAGGCAATACAACTGGTGTTGTCATTAGAAAATGCAGAAAGTGGAGCATGGGAGCTACAGGACATCGTAATGGAAGTGGAGTACCTCATCTCTCTGACTGAGTTTGGGGAACACCACTTGAGTGTAGGCAATCACAGAGCATCACATAGGGCATGTCCTGAGCAGAGGAACTCTAGGCCAAGCCACAACAGAACCCAACAGCAAAGCCGAGCCTTGGCCAAGTGGCTATAAAGTTCTTCGGGATCTGGGTAACCAACCCATTGAAGTTGCTGCTGGTACATGGACTCGAGACAGCAAAGAAGTCCTACAAGGCCTGACTTGAGTAAGAAAACTCATAGGCCAGTACCCAAGAGAGTGAATGCCCTGGAAAGTCCCTCTACATGTGGGTTGGAACAAATAAAGTGCTTAGCGATGTCCAAATCAGAACTGATGTAAATTAATGCTTGGTTAAATGGTCACCTAGTTCCGATGGAGGTTGATACCAGCTCAGCCGTATCTGTTGTTGCAGTTTCTGTCTTTAACAAGATTTGCCCATGTCTCCAACCCTTAAGTTCACGCAAGACCTTAGCCAGACTGAGAACATACACTGGGGAGCCATCACAAATTAAGGGCACAACTTCAGTTCCGGTTTCCTATGAGAAGTAGTTGGTGCAGTGACTTCTGATGGTAGTAAAAGGCTCAGGCCCAAGCCTATTGGGGCACAATTGGTTGAGAAAGATTCACCTGGATTGATTCAACATTTTTCAATTAGAAAGTGGCTGGGTCAGTGAACTCCTAATGAAATACCCAGGAGTTTTTCAGGAAGAGCCAATGCAAACAGGATTCAAACCTTTCTGGACCCAGCAAAACCAGATCATCATAGAGGATGGCATATTTTGTGCACAGCCCAGACTCTCACAGAAGCCAACCTTCCATCCATGGACTCCATTTACACAGCTCACTGCCACAGAAAGGCTGCCAACATCATCAAAGACCCCTCCTGGCCTGGTAATGATCTCTACAACCTCTTCCATCAGGCAGAAGACACAAAAGCTTGAACACACGCACCAATAGGTTCAAGAACAGCTTCTTCCCTGCCATTATTAAAGTGATGAATGGACTCTCTAACTTCAAATTATGTTGATCTTGCTTCGCACACCTCCTGTGCAGTGTAACCCATATATGCCTCATTCTGTCTAAGCACCCTGTGTTCTGTATGTCCTTACTATGATCAGCCTGTGCTGCTTGAAAACAAAGCTTTTCACTGTACTCGGGTACATGTGACTACAATAAATCAAATCCAGCCAAATTACTATGGTGAGCAAGCGTGAATGTCCCGTGTAAAGTTTGCTGCCAGATACTGGCTGAACTCCACCAGGGTCATCCAGGGGTTTCCAAGATGAAGATACCAGCAAGAAGCCATGTATGGTGGCCAGGGTTGGATGCCAACATAGCTACATTGGTGGGCCAGTGCCCAGATTGCCAACAAGGATAACAATTACCACCAGCGCTACCCCCATATTCGTGCGATTGGTTGGGTAACTCCTGGACTCAGTTGCATGTCAACAATGCTGGTCCTTTCATGGGCTGACTGTTCCTGGTCATTGTGAATGCCCATTCAAAGTGGTTGGACGTGCATAAAGTGTGTTTGGCAAACTCTCAGGATGGCAATTGAGAAGCTGCGAGCATCGTTTGTGCTACATGGACTCCCAGAAGTATTGGTCATGGACAATCATTTTCCAGCAGGCAATTCAAATATTTCCTAAAGTTCAATGGCATTTGGCACATAAGGACAGCTCCATACCATCTGTCATCCAATGGCCTGGCAGAAAGAGCAGTCCAAACATTGAAGGCAGGCTTAAAGAAGCAGCCTACAGCTTCACTCAACACCAAACTGTCCCGGTTCCTGTTCGATTATAGGACCATGCCTCACACAAAAACCGGCATAGCTCCAGGGGAGTTGCTGATGGGGAGGAGACTCTGCATCAGGTTAAACCTGATATTTCCAGATCTGGGGGTAGAGGGTGAAACAGCAGCAGGCATGCCAATGCCAGCCACATGCCACCTCTAAGCAAGGGAGACAATTTAAATCGTTTTGTGCCAGAACCATGGAAATGGCCCTGTGTGGGTATGAGGCGAGGCTGACGCAAGGTCAGGTCCCATCACTTACAAAGTTCGGATAGGTGATACAGTCCTGAACAAACATGTGGATCACTTGAAAGCTGTTACCTCGCAAACGGGGCAAGAGCAAAACATGCCTGACCCCTCAGAACAAACAGAAGACTTGTCAGAAATCGTAGGTTCTTCCCTTCCGTCTAGTGTTGAGGAAGCCTCAGAGTCTGATATGGATGCAGCCTTGATACCATGACTGATGGGAGAAGAGGAGGAAACTCTCCCGAGATGCTTGGGACGCAACAGGCAGACTACAGTCCAGTACATGCTGCCTGTATCAGAGTCCGAATCAGAGGAACCAGGCTTGGGGGTGATAATGTCACAGGAAAAGCTACAAGAGAAAGACTAGGCCTATATCCCCGGACTTAGAGGGGGACGGATGTAGTGATTAAAACCAGGTGGATCTTTTTCACTATGAGATCTTTGATTGGGGTTGTTAATCTGTACCAATCAGGAAGCCCTGGCTGACAAATATAAACAGGGGATTTTAGAATCTGAGATAACAAGGTGTAGAGCTGGATGAACACAGCAGGGCAAGCAGCATCATAGGAGCAGGAAGGCTGACGTTTCGGGCCTAGACCCTTCATCAGGAATGGGGGAGGGGAAGGGGGTTCTGAAATAAATAGGGAGAGAGGGGGAGGCAGATAGAAGATGGATAGAGGAGAAGATAGGTGGAGAGGAAACAGACAGGTCAAAGAGGCGGGAATGGAGCCAGTAAAGGTGAGTGTAGGTGGGGAGGTGGGGAGGTAGGGAGGAGATAGGTCAGTCCAGGGAGGACGGACAGGTCAAGGGGGCAGGATGAGGTTAGTAGGTAGGAGATGGGGGTGGGAGGAAGAACAGGTTAGGGAGGCGGGGACGAGCTGGGCTGGTTTTGGGATGCGGTAGGGGGAGGGGAGATTTTGAAGCTTGTGAAATCCACATTGATACCATTGGGCTGCAGGGTTCCCAAGCGGAATATGAGTTGCTGTTCCTGCAACCTTCGGGTGGCATCGTTGTGGCACTGCAGGAGGCCCAGGATGGACATGTCGTCTGAGGAATGGGAGGGAGAGTTGAAATGGTTCACGACTGGGAGGTGCAGTTGTTTATTGCGAACTGAGCATAGGTGTTCTGCAAAGCAGTCCCCAAGCCTCCGCTTGGTTTCCCCGATGTAGAGGAGGCCACAACGGGTACAGTGGATGCAGTATACCACATTAGCAGATGTGCAGGTGAACATCTACTTGATGTGGAAAGTCATCTTGGGGCCTGGAATGGGGGTGAGGGAGGAGGTGTGGGGACAGGTATAACACTTATCTCCCCAGTTCAGCGGACTGACTTGCTGGGTTCTGTGTAATTATTTCAGCGTTTATTTCAAATTTTGTGGAAATACCCAGAGAGATTTCTTCAAAAGAAATCATTGAAAGTTCACTTTGGAGAGTCTTTTTTTTTAACATGGACTCCTAGGAATCATGTGACTGGTGATAATTGGTGCTTTACTGTAGACCCTGCTTGGACAGTTTGAACAGTGACTGACTTGGAGAGATTCTTGTTTTATCTGGTCTTCAGTTGGCAGAAAGCTTGCTAAGAACAAGCTCCTAAACTGACCTCCCCATCTTTGAAAAGAGAAGCCTCTTGTTGAATTAAGGGTGAAAACTAATTTTTCTTCCGAGAGTGTGATTCAAAGAACATATCTAATTGTATTTCTTGAGCAAACTCTGTCTGTAAGACTTCAGAGACAATGGCTGTACTATTAGTCTCTTATTACATATGCCAGAACATCAGAGTGGCAGAGTCTCAAACATCCTGTGTTTTTATCTTCTTGCCTTCAAGAATAACTGAATGCAAAAGTGTCATCATTCATGAAAGCTGATGTCTGCATAAAAACATGACTATATGTTCACCAATTATTGCATCTTTATTTTAAAAGATTTATTCTGATAATAAACCAGTAATTGCATTTATTAAGAAACCTGGCTGATATATCAGGTTTTAAACAAGATCTAAGGTTTAGGGTGGCACAATGGCTCAGTGGTTAGCACTACTACCTCACAGCGCCAGGGACCCGGGTTTGATTCCACCCTTGGGCGACCGTCTGTGTGGAGTCTGCACATTCTCCTCTGGGTGCTCTGGTTTCCTCCCACAGTCCAAAGATGTGCAGGTTAGGTGAATTTACCGTACTAAATTGCCTGTAGTGTTCAGGGACGTGCAGGCTAGGTGGGTTAGCCACAGGAGCTGCGAGGGTAAGGGGATGGGTGTGGGTAGGAAGTTCTGCAGTGTTACTCGATGGTTCGAATGGCCTGCTTCCACGCTTTAGGGATTCTATAAGGTTTAAGGTATTTAATTTTACATTTTGGTAACTAGGCAACGCATTTTATTTTGTGTTGTGACCTGTGGGCCTACAACAACAGCATGCCTCCCCAGATTCAGTCATGACAACAGATACTGCTAGGTGTATTCCATATTTCCAGCATTTTCTTTCTTAATTTGTGCAACATTACAACAGTCCATACAAGCAATGTAACATTATGGTGTGGTGAAATCTGTTCCATCTTTTACAATTCCCATGTCTTCAATGTTAAAATTAATGGTATTGTATTGTTCTGATGCCTTGCCAAATAGCATTGCATGTTTGCTGCAAGCAATTTAACTATCAAACTTTATTTGATAACACTCCCATGAAAATTCTTGGGACATTTTACCATGGCTGAGACACCACGTAAATGCAAATTGTTATTGCTAATAAATTGGTCAGATTGGGTGGTTTTGGATTTGCAACCAATTAAGTAGACCTAAATCAACTAGTAGTTTGGTATGTTGTGAACATAAAGGAGACTTTCTCCATTTCCAATTTTAAATTCTTAGAATATGGAGGGAATGTGGAAGAGATTTTACTACTTGTAATTTAGCTCTTTAAACTGTGGATTTGATTATTGTGCATTGCTGAATAATTTACTCTTGCAAATTGTTGGATCAATATTTGATTCAGAAGAGGATTGAATCATATGACTTTGAAAACTCAGAAAATGGTCATGAGACTGAAAATGTTAATTCAGTTTATCTCTTTACAGCTCTGCTAAACCTGCTGAGTTTCTCCAGCACTTTGAGCAAAGAACAAAGATCAAAGAAAATTACAGCACAGGAACAGGCCCTTCGGCCCTCCAAGCCTGCGCTGATCCAGATCCTCTATCTAAACATGTCGCCTATTTTCCAAGGATCTGTAGCCCTCTGCTCCCTGCCCATTCATGGAAGTGTCTAGATACATCTTAAATGATGCTATCGTGCCCGCCTCTACCACCTCCGCTGGCAACGCATTCCAGGTACCCACCACCCTCTGCATAAAGAACTTTCCACGCATATCTCCCTTAAACTTTTCCCCTCTCACCTTGAAATCATGACCCCTAGTAATTGAGTCCCCAGCTCTGGGAAAAACCTTCTTGCTATCCACCCTATCTATACCTCTCATGATTTTGTAGACCTCAATCAGGTCCCCCCTCAACCTCTGTCTTTCTAATGTAAATAATCCTAATCTACTCAACCTCTCTTCATAGCTAGCGCCCTCCGTACCAGGCAACATCCTGGTGAACCTCCTCTGCACCCTCTCCAAAGCATCCACATCCTTTTATTAATGTGGCGACCAGAACTGTATGTAGTATTCCAAATGTGGTCGAACCAAAGTCCTTCACAACTGTAACATGACCTGCCAACTCTTTACTCAATACGCCATCCAATGAATGAAAGCATGCCGTGTGCCCTCTTGACCACTCTATCGACCTGCGTTACCACCTTCAGGGTATAATGGACCTGAACACCCAGATCTCTCTGGTTTTATGTCTCAGATTTTTAGGATGGATCCAAGTGAGGGAACAAGCAAGATGGTTTTCCTTATATTCTGGTGTCTCTTAGCTATTGGCTACAAAATTATAAATGGAAGCTGTGCTCACTGTGAATACCTTCCTACTAAGTCATTGTTGACCACATCTTGTTTTCTGCATAAGGACAAATTTGTCTGACTGCCACCATCAAGAGAGCCGAGATTATCTGCAAGTAACTTGGAGATGTTCTTTTTAGAATGATTGAATTTCTTGGGAAATATCAATATAACCACAGCACAAGGGTTGCACTGGAGCAGTTCATGTCTGATTGCTCAATCCTGTGTTTTCCTTTACCACACCATTACCACAATGAATTTTACATACTATGTTGACTCATTAACATAGCTCTACCCTATGTAAAAGACTGGAGAATGCAAGTTTCTTGCATTAAGGCTAATTAATGCCTGAATAGGTGTAAATTCTATTTGCAGCAGTCACATTATTACTTTTTAAAATAGATTTTTCTGCTTGCTGAGACCTCCGCAGTATATTCTGTATGTCTTTGGATGTTTTCCCTAATACCATCAGAATGTTAGTTGAAGATAAGAACTTTCAGAATATAATTTTCATAGGCCTACTTAATGAGCATAAGTAATGGCTTGATAGTGCCAAACTTCAGTTTTATTTTAACATCAATAAGATACATAAGGACCTGTTTCAGGAAGATAGTTTATATTCTGTTCCTCAGGCCCTGATTACTGGAAGATTATTTCCCAGTTGATACACACCAGTTTTAATCATCAAGCTGGTGAAACAATACTTTATGCAGCTTAATTCAGAAAATAAGGAACATAATGAGATATTTTGACCTCAGTGCCATTTGATGTTTACTTACTTTCACTGAATTCAGAAATGTTGAAAGTGTAAGACGTCTGGGTAAAAGAAGGATTAAATTCATTGACTGGTGTGACTGTGACATAAACAGTCACAGTATCTAAGTGAGATAAAGCAGACACAGAAAACAATTTTAAGATTAAGAATTTCTTGAGTTGTATTTCACATTGAACAAGAACACAACAATATTAAATCAGAATATGCAGTTTTTCCCATAATTTAGATGAATTTATGAATGTCCATCTTTAATTTTGTTAATACCATACCATTTGCTTCTATGAATGATATACCTGGATAACCATTTAAAGCTCAAACTCTGAAATCTCCTGAAACTGGCAATCTCAGTGACTGATTAACCAATGCGTGGTGACTCCTAACTTCTTGCTACCTGCTGTTCTGAATGATTTCAGTCAGCAATAATTACCAAATGCACTGTTGATTAACTGGATGCCTGATTGGGCAATAAAAACAGTGAGAGTGGCTCACATACCATTTCAATTAAGGCATTTGAGAGAGCATGGTATGATTATCTGGATAGAAATGGTGTGAGGGTGTTTGTAGTGCAGTGGTAATGTTCCTACCTCTGAGCCAGTAGGCCTGGTTTCAAGTTCCACCTGCTCTGGATGTGTGTAATAACATCACTGATCAGGTTGATGAGAAAATCTCTTGAAATGGTGTATAGGGTTATGGGGAAAAGGCAGGAGATTGGCACTTGGTAGTAGAACCAGTATAGGCTCAATGGACCGAATGTCTTTTTGTGACTTAACAGTTCTGCAATTTAAAGTAAGCTTGCTCTGCTTAAAGATGATTTGCACCTCTTAAAGGAGAGACACTTTGTGGCTGAGGCAGGTGCAGGGAGTTCTGTAGGAGCCAAATATTATCATGGAAATACAGAAAAATGGCATCACATGGGAGGGAAGAGCTCTGCAGTTTCTAGGTGCTGCATTGGAAACCCTGCTGTAGGAAGTGGAAAGGAGAACAAAGGTCCTGGTTCCATGAGAGGCCAGCCAGACACCCACTCCAATTGCAGTGGGAGAAAACAATTGTGGCAGTCAATACTAGGAGTTGAACTCCAGGACCTGGATGCAGTGCCACAAGAACCATAATGAGCTGCAATGCCTTATCCTACCAACTTCACTGCTGGCCTCAGACACTGTTCATCACAGAACTCCCACTATTCTCTCTTATCATCACTCCTTTCCATTGGGACCTGTATCTGACATTTAGAAGTTTCACTGTGCCATTACTTAGGGACAAGGCTGGTGCAGTTGCCAACACTCTGGCTGGCAAGAACATGCCCAGGTTCTGCTGGACAGAGCATGTTTAAGAGCTTTAGTGGGTTGACTCCTGAAGAGTGCTGTAGGACGCACACAATGAAAGGCATTGACTGTCCTTCCAGGAAAAACCTGCATGGAGGAGACCAGCATATAGGGGCACAACATTTAGGCAGAGCTTGGAGGCCAATTTTCCAGCATGGAGTTGATGGAAACTCCATTGCCATTCTTTCAAACTTGACATCATCCGATGGTCAATCTTCATTTTCCACTGCGGCTCAAAACAGGAGCCAGCCGATGTCCACGTGTTCCAGAGCAAGCTGAGATTGATATCACATAATCTCAGGGTGCTGCCAGCATTGCAGTGGAAACCAGTCTGCAGGGTGAAGGGTGTTATAGCCATCCCTCGAACCATTCTGCTTTATAAATACTGGGATTGTTGAAGCATTATCCCTGAGGAGTGATAGTGTTCTCCTGGAACACCCACCTCTCTCAGGATGACAACATTCACAATCATCACTCCAACAGGGCCCTTGCATTAGACAGACATCCAGTGAGCACACATGCTGAGGTGGTACATTGAGTAATTTCAGAGAAGCTTGCTCTGTAAGGCCTTCTCCTGTCTCCCACTGGGATAGCATTCCATAGGGGCCCTAGGACAGCCAAAAACACATAGAAGATATTTGTTATTCGGGGTCAGATATCTCTGGCAAGGCTGGATTTTGTTGCTCTGGGTGGCCTTGAGAAGGTAGTGGAGCAATGACCAGTGCTGTACAGCAGTTTTGGAGCCATATATAGCAAAGAGGAAGGCCATTCAGCTCATCGAGTGCATCCTAGCTCCTCCTTCAAACAGTGTCTCATTAAATTCCCTTGTGCAACAATGATGGAAAAGTGAGAGTTATTGCAAATATCACTTGTGCAGCCAGGAGGATCCCAATAGCTAAACGATCGTCGTCATGATCACCTTCATAGTTGCTAAAGAGCAGGTACAAACGCCTACTGAAGTCTGAAGTAACTCTGCTACCTTCCTCTGTGCTGCATCAGTATTTAGGAGCAAGGAGTTTGGACAGAACTGTTGACATCAGAACCAAATCCAACATCTGCCGCATCGCTCACCGTAAATTTTACCAACGTCAAAGAACTCTAGAAATCACCAAAACCTCTGATTGAAGCAATCCGTTTGGAGCCTGAAGATAGTCCTGCTGGGTGGGTGGTGTGGAAGAGTGATCCCTGTTGCTGTGGAATATGTGTTCAGGTATGCAAGGATGTGCCATAGTATCTCCGGAGCATTGAGCTGCAGAACCCGTTAAATCTAACACCATGATTTGGCTGCTCTCTGGATTTGTCCTAGTTGATCTTCGCTTGGTCTGACTCCCCTCAGCAAAATGGCGTTTGGTGTTTCTAGTGCCAGATGTCCACTCACATGAATAGATGCCAATTTGAAGCGAATTTGTAATGCCGAAAAATTGGGTGGAACTTTCCACACTTGCAAATGTAAAAAATCATTCAAATTATTAGCAGAGAAAAGAATAATTCAATTGCTTAACCCAAAAGTAATTGCAAGATATTTTTCGGAAATATTGGAATGTGACATTCAGAATATATGTTCTAAACTTTCATCTTGAGACTCTGTTTCAATCAGACATTCCAATGGTTAGTCACTTACCCTGGTAATGTGGGTGAGCTTTATCTGTCACAACTACCGACATCACGTAAACATGGTTACCCTCGAGATGAGCAGTTGCTTCAAAGTCCAAGTTTCCAATAACCTACCAGAAAACAATGGAGGGCATTAGTTGCAATGGAGTCTTCAGTGTCCTGAAATGGCTGAAGACCTGAATGAAAGTGCCTTGGTGGTTTCATATGGGATGAAATTAAAGTTAACAATGTGATTGATTATCAAGAGCAAAGCTGAAGAAGAAGGAGGAAAACAATCTGATAAATAGATGAAGACCTGGAGGTGTTGTTTCCTCATGGAGCAATCTGGAATGAGAGGTTATAGATTTACAATAAGGGCTAGCAGTGGTGCAAGTTCATAGTTCCTTTTCAGTTGAGTTGCAGGTAGACAGGTTAGTGAAGGAAGTGTTTGGTATGCTTGCCTTTATTGGTCATTGCATTGAGTATAGGAGTTGGGAGGTCATGTTGCGACTGTACAGGACTTTGGTTAGATCACTTTTGGAATACTGTGTGCAATTCTAGTCTCCCTGTTATAGGAAGGAGGTTGCAAAACTTGAAAGGGTTCAGAAAACATTTACAAAGGACGTTGCCAGAGTTGGAGGGATTGAGTTTATAGGGAGATGCTGAATAGGCCGGGGCTATTTTCCCTGAAGCATCAAAGGCTGAGGGGTGATCTTTATGTAGGTTTATAAAATCCCGAGAGGCATGGAGAGGGTAAATAGACAATGTCTTTTCCCTGGGATAGGGGAGTCCAAAACTAGATGGCATAGGTTTAAGGTGAGAAGGCGAAGATTTAAAAGGGACGTAAGGGGCAACTTTTTCACACAGACGATGGTGCATGTATGGAATGAGCTGCCAGAGGAAGTGGTGGAGGCTGGTACAATTACAACATTTAAAAGGCATCTGGATGGGTATATGAATAGGAAGGGTTTAGAAGGATATGGGCCAAGTGTTGGTAAATGGGACTAGATTGACTTAAAATACCTGGTTAGCATGGACAAGGTGGACTGAAGGGTCTGTTCCTGTGCCGTATATCTCTATGACTCTACGACTTTCTATAACACAAAAGAGGAGAAATTACTTCTCTCAAAGGGTCATGAATCTGTGGAATTCACTGCCCCAGAGTGTGGTGGATGCTGGGACATTGAGATAATTTAATGAGGAGATGGATTTTTAACACGTAGTGGGTTAAAGGATTATGGGGAGCAGGCAGCAAAGTGGAGTTGGGGCTGAGATAAGATCAGTCATGATTATACTAAAAGGTAGAGCAGGCTCAAAGGGCTGAATTACCTACTCCTGCTCCTGGTTATTACGAATAGCAGTCAACATTGCTTCAGATGGGGTCAATCCTGCATGATAAATCTTCTCGGTTTCTTTGAAGAAGGGGCCTGATATTGTGGAGTTCTCAAAGGTATTCAATAAGTTCCACATTCGTACTAATCACACTTGATGCGTTGAAGATTCAAAACAATATTAGGATATGGATAAGAAACTGAGTGAAGTGCAGTAAAACAGGCAGACCAGTAATATAAAATAGGGGGGATTTCTGATTGAAGTGACTCAATACTTGGTTTTGGGACTAGTACTATTTCTCAGTTACATTAGTGACTAGGATTCCAGTGACTTGAGATAAATCGATTGTAGGTGGGAGCAAACCAGAAAGAAGTGGGTAGCTCATTATACAATGGGCTCAAAAAAACATGAGACATAGGACAGGCGAAGTTACCGACAAAAATGGTACAAAGTAGCTTGGGATGAAATCGAACGGCAGTGTGATGTTGGGTGGATATCAGCACTGCAAGGTGACCATGGTGTCCTTTATACTTGTTCCAGGAAGTGGAAGTTCCAAATTTCTGCAAAACCTTCTCACTGAGTGAATAAGTTGATTATTCAAAGTTCTTTGTTTTGAAACACGATTTCTTCACTGCACTAAGGGAATAATCCATCTTGACAAGACCACTTGACAATCAAACCCGCCCTATTTCATCACACTCTTACTGCACTGTCCTTTCAATACCAATTATGGAAATAAAAAAAATGTGGTTAAAGCTTTGCTTTGCCCTTTTCACACCACTCCCCCACCCCCACTGCTTCTTTGCTCAGATATGATTATGTGGTGTCTGCAACTCGACAATAGCTTGTGCAGGCCACCCATGTGATGTGAGCAGTGACACAATGGGATGTGAGGTTAAAGAGTGCAATCAGATTTTCACTTTTCGTAAATCTTCTAGCTGGTTTTGACTCTGCGGCAACCGCCCCCAAGCTTCCTGCTGGAATCCATCATCTTCCCACAACTAAAGACACTGGGCATAAACGACAACTGAGGTGCTCCTGCTTTATCTGCAGAAAATTCAAAACCCTGTCCTTGGTACGTTATCAGACAAACAACTGTATTTGTCAGTGAGCAACTGGGCAAGGTTTGCCTGGCTGTCATAAAGTAATCATTGATTTAATTTGATTTAAGCTTTATTGTCACATGTACTCAAGTACAGGAGTACAGGGAAAAGTGTACAATGTCAACACACATGGAACTATCTTAGATATGAAGGTACCTAGTTAAAAAATGTTGGTATAAGTAGTAACATAGAGAAACAAAGTTAAAAGAAATGCATTACCACTGTTCTTAGTATAATTGGAAAAATAAAGAAATGAAGTTAAAAGTTAACAATACAGTCCTTCCTACAATTAAGTAGAAAAATAAGATAAATTGGTAGCTTTTAAACGGAACTTGGGTTTCTTTTTCTGTAGAATGTCTGTCTATTTTCAACCTTGATTGGTTGATTTTAGTATTTATCAAGTATGTGGGTTGAAAAGTGAAACTCTCATACCACAATAGTATCATTATTCTTCTCATCCAGTGCAAATCTCCCAGCAGCACGGAGAGCAGGCTGAAGTGAAATAGTGAACTGGCTGTTTGCAAGATCCACATCATTATCTTCACAGGATATGGTGACAATTGTTGAACCCTTTTCAATTGTTTCTGGTATCTGGATGCTAAACAAAGAAGAAAGTAAGCAGTTGTGCATTTACACAACTTAAAATTAGGAGTTCCTTATGAATTTCCTTGTCTTATATTTATTTTGAAGAACATTTTCTGCATTGTAGGTAATATTACGAATCAGGTATAGCCAGGCACAAGGAAACATGGCAGATACCAAACAAAATGTGGTGTAGAGCTCAGAGGGAGGTCAAAATGACTGGAGGATTTGTGAACAGGATCCGTCAGATTTCCCAAGGCATATCAAAAGTTCTAGCTCACAAGTGATGGTTAACTATGCAGGCAGTAAAATGGAAACCCAAGCAAAAAATACTGAGGCAGAATTTCAGAGTCAGAAGTAAGCATATTACAGAGGAGGTGGTGCTGGGTGTCTTAAGATGTTGGAAGATGGATAAATCACCAGGAACTGATCAAGTTTAACCTACAATTCTTTGGGAAGCTAGGGAGGTGATTGCTGTGCTCCTTGCTGAGATATTTGTATCATCAATAGCCACAGGTGAAGTGCCAGTAGACTGGAGGTTGGCTAACATGGTGCCACTATTCAAGGATGGTGGTAAGGAAAAGCCAGGGAACTATAATCCAGTGAGCCTGACGTCAGTTGTGGGCAAGTTGTTGGAGGGGGCCCTGAGGGACAGGATTTACATGTATTTGGAAAGACAAGGACTGATTAGGGATAGTCAGCATGGCTTTGTGCATGGGAAATAGTGTCTCATGAACTTGATTGAGTTTTTTGAAGAAGTAACGAAGAGGATTGATGAGGGCAGAGCAGTGGACATGATCCATATGGACTTTGGAAAGGCATTCAACAAGGTTCCTCATGGTTGACTGGTTAGCAAGGTTAAATCACATGGAATACAGGGAGAACTAGCCATTTGGATACAGAACTGGTTCAAACGTAGAAGACAGAGGGTGGTGGTGGAGCATTGCTTTTCAGAGCGGAGGCCTGTGATCAGCAGTGTGCCACAAGGATTGGTGCTGGGTCCATTGCTTTTTGTCATTTATATAAATGATTTGGATGTGAACATAGGAGGTATGGTTAGTAAGTTTGCAGATGACACCAAAATAGGAGGTGAATGGACAGCGAAGAAGGTTACCTCAGAGTACAATGGGATGTTGATCAGATGAGCCAATAGACAGAAATGGCAGATGGAGTTTAATTTAGATAAATATGAAGTGCTGAATTTTGGAAAGACAAGTCAGGGTAGGACTTATACACTTAATATTAAGGTCCTGGGGAGTGTTGCTGAACAAAGAGACCTTGGAGTGCAGGTTCATAGTTCCTTGAAAGTGGAGTCACAGGTACATAGCATAGTGAGGAAGGCTGTTGATATGCTTGCTTTTATTGGATAGTCTATTGAGTATAAGAGTTGGGAGGTCATGTTGCAGCTCTACAGGACATTGGTTATGCCACTATTGGAATATTGAATGCAATTCTGGTCTCCCTGCTATAGAAAGGATGTTGTGAAAGGGTTCAGAAAAGATTTACAAGGATGTTGAGCTATAGGGAGAGGCTGAATAGGCTCTGAAGATGAGTCAGAGAGACCAGTCGCGGGTTGGAGGCCAGCACATGGAGGCAGCGAGGCCTCATGTTCTGAAGCCTGGCAGGCACGGACTCAGTGAAAAGGACTATAGCTTGAGTACTTTTTAAAGATACTTTTTATTCTTATTCTGGACTTGAAGTAACGTGTGTACTTTTTAAAACTTTGTATTCCTATGCTAGACTATTTTTTTCACTCTTTCAATTCTGTAACAAACACTTAAAGAATCCGTGTCTAGGTACCCTGTATGTAAGATGACGCCAAAGAGGTAACATTACAAACTTTTCACTGCACTCAGTCAAGTGCACGTGACAATAAGGGCTATTCAATTTCTGTTTTTGTTTCAAATCTTCAGCATCCACAACTCTTTGTTTTAGTTTACATAATGAGCTACGTCAGTAATGATGAAAGAGATCAGATGGCTGAAACAGTCCTTAAAAAATGCTACTATGTAGACCTTGTTAGATCTAAGAGTGTGAATCATTCATAGAATATTTAATGAAAAGGAATCTTAAAAAGACCTGACTACAGCAACCTCTCTTTAGCAATGTAGAGCAGCCACATTCTTCCAAGTCTCAGTTACGCAATAGCAGAGACAGCAGTATTCTTCAGTATCTTGCCTCGCAATACAAGCCGAGCCTTTAGTATTGTAATCTTAAAGTAAAGAACTATATAAAACAATGTCATACAACATAGGTGGAAGTCCATTCTAATCAGCCACTCATCGCACCCAGAACAAATCTTCTTCACTATAAGTGGTTCATTCCCCAGTATGCAATGGGATTTATCGTCACCAAGTGGAAATCTTCTGGATTCACTAATATTTACTGAAACGTAACAATTAATCATGAGGTACCTGTGTGTATGTGGGAAACAGAAGGGTTGGTTATCGTTGATATCTGTTACAATGACAATCACTGTCATTGAAGCTGCATGCTCTCCAAAAAGGCTGTCTTTAGCAATAACTTCAAATTGTTGGGTTGGAACATTCCGGAAAGGTTTACTGTCTCTGTCAATTATTGCTGATACAATCAATTCACCTGTGACTGCAATAGAAAACCAATGGACAGTATTGAGGATAATATTTTGCTTTACAAGCTTATAAATATTCATGGCAATAAAAAAATGAAAACAATGAGTAAGAATGATTCTTTTTTGAAACCTTTGGAAAGCCAGGTGAAAACAGGATCTAACTCCATGGACTCCATTCCCTTCCCTCATTTCAGTGTCAAAACAGTCTGTTGTCACTCAAATGTGACCATGTCAGTTACAGGGTGATAATAAAAAGTTCAGTGAGCCTTCTAACATCCTTCTGATACTCCTGTGATGCATCATAAAGATTGCAAAAGCTTTTCTTTTCTTGAGTAATATGACACTGTTTATTACACCAATCTTACAATGCTGTTAGGGAGAGAATTCTGAATGTTGGCCCTGCGACAATGAAGGAATGGCAATATATTTCCAAGTCAAGATGGTGAGTGGCTTGGTGGGGTACCTGCAGGTAATGGTGTTCCTCTGTATCTGCTACCCTTCTCCTCTAGATGGAAATGGTCATGGGTCTTATGTAATTGATACAGATTCTTTGGCATAACTTGAAAGTAATAAACTGAACTTGGCATTAATATGTATACTTTTCTTTTTTTATATGGTTAAGGAAGGCATAAAATTGTTCACATTGCATATAAGATTATATACACCATACCAAGAAGCAAACATCCAAGGATTAATAATCAGTTGTTGGAGTCTTTATTCAGTTCTATAAAGAGTTTGTGTTGTGAATGGTAAATTTCCTTAGTGTCATAGAGCTATACAGATTTACAGCACAGAAAAAGGCCCTTTGGTCCATCAAATCTTTGCTGGTCAAAGGAAAACAGCAATCTATCCAATCCCTCCTCATAACTGAAACTTGTCAGGCCAGACAACATCCTGGTAAATCTCCTCTGTCCTCTTTCCTGAACAATCATTATCCATCCTATAGTATGGATTCCAGAACTGCAAACCATAATCTAGCTGTGGCCTAACCAAAATTTTACACAGTTTCCTGGTTCTTAAACTGCTCTTAAATTCCTACCTTTCTGTCAGGTGTTTGGTTTCTGAACATGTTTGCAGTCCCTAAGTAGATGGCAATTTTTTTGAGATGCTAAGCCTTGGTTGTATTGTAATGGAGAGTGGTTGAACTTGCATTTCACATACCTGAGTTAATGGTGAAGTATTGGTTTGTTGTACTCATAACATAAATCAAGTTGCTTAATACACCATCTTCATCCGAACCATGGGCTGTAACTTTACCAATTACTGAATTTGGGGGTGTTTCTTCTGAGACTTCAAATACTGTTTCATTTCTGGCACAGATCAAAGGAATCTGAATTATAGCAGCAGTGTTTCACATGGTGTCAGTTCAGCCAACATTTATTTGTCTGAAGTTACATCAGAAACATAAGTTGTTTTACTTTGTTTGCAATTTCCCTTTTTGATTTGTTTTTTTTATGAAGTATGAAAGTCTGGATTATGCTATAATCATTTGTAAAAGTGACATGAAGCTTTTGGGTTGTTGAAGAAAGCCAAGTGTTTGTTTAATGCCCTTTAGGGAAGGAAATCTCTTGCCCACTTTTATGCCAATGAGATTTACTCCCAACTACCCACTGAAGAGTTCTAGCAAAACAACCATCTACATCAAGTCTAGTATCATCAGCTCAAGAGGAAGAGCATCACCACCTCAAGCAGGGCAACTAGGGATGACAAACAAGTTATGTCAGCCTTGCCAACAATGCCAACATCCAAGAATTTTTTTTTTCCAAATGAAAGTCATCTGAAATATCTGTCAATTGGCAAAAATATGCAGCTTATCAATTTTAAGCAGAAAGACAGGTTGGTGTTCAAAGGCCCTCCCTTCATTGGAACTGATGCTTCAGAATTATAGCATATCTTTTTCAGGGGCACTCATTGATCTGTATGTTCAGCATTTTCTTGATGTTATGATGATTTTATTTTTATTGTTTTCCTCCAGCTGCATCTGCCCTGATACAGATTTTGTACTTGAGAAGGTAGAATATATATATATATATATATATATCTATATACTTACTGCTTAAAGATTGGCCAATGGTCATTTGTGTCAATTAAAGTAACCACCACAATCCCATAGATGCTGTTACCTACTGTGTCCTTCACAGTTACTAATACAATGAATCTGTAAAAATATAAAGCAGTAATCCAAATTTTGAACTGCAAATAAGTTACCTAAAAAAAGGCAATTATGAAAGAGAATGGAAAATGATGATTACCTGTGAAAATCTTTTTCATAATGAAATGGTTTTGCTACAAGAATTGCTCCATTTTTCCCACTGGGATGAATTGTGACCAAAGAGGAATTCACTGAGTACTGAAATAAAGCGCAAGTACTTGATTAGCTTCTGGAAGGGACCAGTGTGTTCTACATTTATTTACCACTGATATAATAAATCTTCCTTACTCTTCTGCCTTTCTATTTACAAGCACATTAACACTTATTATTTAGGCTGCCTGTGCAAGATCCTGCAAATCCACTGGGAAGAAAGACACACCAACATCAGCATTCTCAACCAGGCCATTATTCACAGCATTGAGGCACTGACCACCCTTGATCGGCTATGATGGACTGGGCACATCATCCGTATGACTGACACGACACGCCCCAAGTAGGCGCTGTACTCCCAGCTTCGAAATGGCAGACCACCCCCAGGTGGACAGAGGAAGCGCTTCAGTGATACCCTCAAGGCCTCACTGGCAAAGTGCGACATTCCCACAGTCACCTGGGAAGCACTGGCCCCAGGCCATCCAAAGTAGAGGAGAAGCATCCGGGAAGTCATTGAGCACCTGGAGACTTAACGTTGGGAAAAGATGGAAGCCAGGTGAAAACAGTGAGAGGAGCGCACTGCCACACAGTGCCCCACTCACTCCTTCCCGTGACCGCGACCTACCTCAAGTGTAACAGAGCCTGTAGTAGCTGCATTGGTCTATATAGCCACCTATAAGCTCACCCTATGAGTGGAAAAGAGTCATCCTTGTCTGTGAGGGGCCGCAAATGATGATAATATTTAGGACGGTATTTCTTAACCGGAGGGAATGGTATTTCCCACAGGTGGGAAGTGGATGTCATCTAGGTGGGGAGCGAACCTGCTTACAAATGAATTGCAACTCCTGCTTCTCACTAATGACTAAATCATTAATCTGGTTTGTTTTTTTTTCACAATTTAGCAATAAAACTTATTCTCAGCAAAATCACTGCAATTTTTAAAGACATTACATTAACCATTTTTGGACATTTTAATGTTAAAATGCACGTAAATGTAAATATATATTCCTTGGGGGGAAAAAAAGATGAGGTTTTGTTTTTATCATTGTGGGACCAGAGCTTTTGTCAAAAACTGATGAGCGGCACAGGCAATGCAAAAGTTTGAAAACTGCTGATGCAGACAATCCTGGTGTGGGAATGGAATTCGCTCTGAAGCAGCCTAAATCTCTGATGAAACAGACAAGGACCACTAATTAGCTCCCAAAATACGTCATCATAGAATCCCTACAGTGTGGTTGCAGGCCACTCGGCCCACAGAGTCCACACTGCCTCTCAGAAGAGCATCCCACCCAGCCCCAAACCCCTACCCTATAACCCTGCACTTTTTCCCACAGCTAATCTGCCTGCACATTCCTGGTCACTATGTGCAGTTTAGCATGACCAATCCACCTAACCTGCATATCCTCGGACTGTGGGAGAAAACCAGTAGGAGGAAACCGACGCAGACACAGAAAGAATGTGCCATCTTCACACAGACAGTCAGCGGCATGGTGGCTCAGTGGTTAGCACTGCTGTCTCACAGCGCCAGGGACCCGGGTTTAATTCCAGCCTTGGGTGACTGTCTGTGTGGAGTTTGCACATTCTCCCCCTGTCTGTGTGGGTTTCCTTTGGGTGCTCTGGTTTCCTCCCACAATCCAAGGTGTGCAGGTTAGCTGGATTGGCCATGCTAAATTGCCCATGGTGTCCAAAGATGTGCAGGCTAGGTGGATAAGCCATGGGAAATGCAGGGTTACAGAGATAGGGTAGGGAGGGGAGGGGAGGTGGGTCTGGGTGGGATGCTCTTTGGAGGGTCAGTGTGGACTCGATGGGCTGAATGGCCTGCTTCCTCACTGTAGGGATTCTATGATTCTTCGAAGGCTGGACTCAAACCCAGGTCCCTGGTGCTGTCAGGCAGCAGTGATAACCACTGAGCCATTTGAATTCAACCAAATGTTAGTGAAATTGGACATTGAGAAAGTCTGAAAAATAGGAAGAGATCTTTATTGCACTCTAGAAACAAGGAAACCTAGAAAACAGACAAGAACTAGCAAACCACAAGCCCCTGGATGTGCAAAGTGCCTTTACAGATCAATGTGTAGTAGCATATTTCAGAAACCAAGCTCTTTCTGAGCTGCTACATAGCAAGAACTGCAGATGCTGGAGAAGGGTCCTGACTCGAAACGTCACCTTTCCTGATCCTCTGATGCTGCCTGGCCTGCTGTGTTTCTCCAGCTCCAGACTGTGTTGTTTCTTTCTGAGCTGCATTGTATTGTGGTGAGTTTTTATCATCATTACTAGTTTATAAAGCAAGTTATCAATTGTATGACTTGTTCAGTTGTTGGATTTCAACATCATAAGATAGTATTTGAAATCTGAAATTGAGTAAGAGAGAAATGAATTTGCAACAGATGTTGAATGATAGGAAAGTGGCAATTTAAACACTATCACTTGTTATTGGGTGTATCTTATATTTCATTCTTCTTAAAACTTAAGCATAATCTTACTTCAAGTAAGTCTTTAAAATGAAAGAAGGGAGTTGCTACTGTTTTTAACTGCTTTTATTTTGAAAAAAGGAGTTGTCATATTGACAAGTGGCTCCAATAGAAGAGTTATTAATCGGGAGCTTTGAGTTAAATTTACATAATGAACTGCAGCAAAGCCTATTTTAATGTGTACTTCTGTCTTTGAGTTGGCCTTGATGTTTTATGATCTATTTTGATAAACATTTTATTGTGGAGCTCTGCTGTACCCCAGTCGGCAATATACTGTCGTCGTTGAGTCCAACAGGCCAGGGAGAGAGCACTAGCTTTGTGCTGAGCTGACTGATCACTACTGTTTGACAGTGATGCAATTGGTCTCAATTTTCCATGTTACAGAACATCTTCCTCCCCATAATTTCCCAGCAGGAATGACTAGGAATTGATTTTATTGTTAAAACATTGTGGGTTGATTTGACTTAGAATGTTATTGATTGCTTCAGGATGTTGTAAAATGTCTCAGCTTTTGTGGTGGAATTTGCCACAGCTGTAAAAATGTGAACAGTGTAGTCAGAGCAGCTTATTGGATGTGCATTGGCCTGAATCTCCTTAGTAAGATGGAAGTGCTTTACAAAAGAAAGGATTCATTTTTACAACTTTGTTTTTGCAGACAGGCAGGGAAAATCCAGAAAGAATAATTGTTGGGTTAGCACAGCCTAGTAGAGATGTTTGACTAAGTACTCCCTCTCTACTTGTGAGCATTGGATTATTTACTTCAAAAGTTACTTACGGAAAGAATATTGTCATTCCTGTCGGGATCAATTGCTTGAACTTCGTATATAATTGCACCAACCGCTAAATTCTCCAGAAAGTCAACATATACAGCTGTAAAGTAATTCAAAATAAATGATCATATTAATGTATTCTTATGGATACATATATTCTTAGACCAATTAATACAGCCCTTTTTATCAATTAAAAACTTTATGCAAGAAATATCTTCAGCAGAGTGACATCTGATTGGAAATGTTGTTGCGAGGGAGTAGATAACTGTTATGTTCTCTTGATCTCAGTGTCTGAAGCATCCTTATAATGTACCAACTTGTATCTTTTCTCATTAAGGTTTTGGGATCTTTTCAACATCATTTAGTGGTGGGCCAGTTTATTTGGTGGCTGGTTTGATGGCAAAGCGGGGACAGGATCTAATCTGAAGAGGTAAAGAAAGGATTGATGAGGCCATTGATGTAATGTACATGGAATTCCAAAAGGTGTTCAACACAATACCACACAATAAACTTAGGAGGAGGGTCAGATATCAAGGCATAAAAGGGACAAGAGCAAATTGGATACAAAATTGGCTGAGGGATAGGAAATAAAGTAAAAGTTGATGGGTATTTTTTGGGCTGGAAGAAGATTTGCGATGGTGTTCCCCAGAGTCAGTATGATGAGCTTGGGGGGTTTCTGTGATGTGTACGAGTTATCTAGGTTTTAGTGTGCAGGGGACAATTTCAAGATTTGCGGTCTACTCAAAACTTGGGATAATTATAAACTGACGAGAACAACATAGAATTTCAAAAGGATATTTATGCATTCATAGAGTGTGCAGATAGGTGGCAGATGAAATTCAATGTGGAGAAGTGTGAAGAAATGCACTCTTGTACAGATAACCTAGAGAAACTGTATAATATAAAGGGTATTATTCTAAAGGATGTACAGGACCATAAAGACCTGGGTGTATGTGTGCACAAGTAAGCAAAGGGGACAGATAGACAGAGCTGTTAATAAAGCATATGTAATTCTAGGCTTCATATTAACAGGGAGATAGCATGCAGAAGCATGAAAGTTACGGTGAACTTATATAAGACAGTAGTTAGACTTCAGCTAAAGTATTGTGTATAGTTCTGTGTAGGAAAGATGTGAATGCATTGGGGAGAGTGCAGAAGAGATTACAGGATTATTTGTTTTGATTAGATTTATTTATTGTCATATGTACCTAAGTACAATGAAACGCTTTGTTTACGAGCAGTACAAGCAGATCATAGTAAGCAAGAACATAGTTCAAGGGGTGAGACTTCAGTGATGGGGAAAGATTGGAGAGTAGGAGACTTTTTTTTTTCTTTGGAGAGGAGAAGGCTAAGAAGAGATTTGATAGAAGTTTTCAAAATCATGTAAGGTCTGGACAGAGTGGATAGGGAGAAACTGTTTCCATTTGTAAACTGAGTGAGAATGAAAGGACATGGTTTGAGAGGGTTTTGAAAAAGAAACAAATGTGAATTGAAAATCTTTTTCAAACTGTGAGTAGTCAGGGCATGGAATGCACTGCCAGGAAGTGTGGTAGAAGCAAGTTCAATTAAGGCATTTGTGAGCGAATTGGCTGATTATTTATCGGTACTGGGTTAAAATGCTCAGAGATGATATGGGCATGATGGACTGATTGTGAGTGAGAAAGGGAGAGAGAGAACTATGGATGAGGCAGGTATATGGAATTAAAAGGAAGCATTGGAGCACCCACAATTGTCCATCCTAATGTCTACATTTGGAAGTCAAAAGGGTTTTGGCTTAATGTCTCAACTAAGAGACAGTATTTCCACCAGTGCAGAATTCCCTCTGTACTATAAAAGGACTGCAAACCAGTCTAGACTAAAATCCTCAATCCCACTGACTCAGAGGCAAGAGTGCTACAGTCTGAGTAAAAGCAGCGTTATAAATGCCAGATTATTCTTACACAACCTTTCCCTTTCTTTCCTGTTATTAGGACAAGAACCATCCGCCTTGAGTTCACTCAAGCAAAAGAAACATCAGCTCTCCTGCTCCTCTGATGCTACCTGGCCTGCTGTGTTCCTCTAGCTCCACACTGTGTTATCTAATAAAATACCTCAAATGCTGGAGATTTAAAAATAAGTGCTGGAGAAACTCAGCAAGTCTTTCAGCATCTATAGGGAGAGAAACAGAGTTAACGTTTTGCATCCCATAATTTCTTCAGAACTTCAAAGAAAGGTCATTGTACTCGGAACATTTAACTCTGTTTCTCTGTCCTCAGATGCTGCCATACATGCTGAGTTTCAACAGCACTTTCTGTTTTTATGCCCGGAGTTCATCTTCTGTCTTTCCTCAACCCCTTTTTCCGTTTCCTCATGATTGCCTGCAGCAATTAAATTAAGTCAAAGCAACAGCAGTTCACTTTTACTGAAATTGAATGTTTGCAAACTTCTCTGCAGATCTCAGCCATCATGTTAGTCATGAGCTACCTGTTGTATGAAAGAAAGAACTACAATTCACATGGCACCTTTCCCAAGCTCCAGGAATTCCAAAGTGCTTTACAGTCATTTGAATTTAGTGATTATGGCCATGAAGCAATGTTAAAGTTCTTCACAGCAATAAAAAAACATTGGATAAAGAATTTTTAAGCCTGTTCTACTGCATGTCTTTTATATCAAAAATAACAGTTACTTATAACAAGTTCCAATAATCCTGTCACATTTAGAACTCAGACATAGTAGGAACTGCCGATGCTGGAGGATCTGAGATAACAAGGTGTAGAGCTGGATGAACACAGCAGGCCAAGCAGCATCA